CTCTCTCTCTCACTCTCTCTCTCTCTTCTCTCGTCTCTCTCTCTCTCTCTCTCTCTCTCTCTCTCTCTCTCTCTCTCTCTCTCTCTCTCTCTCTCTTGTGTGTGTGTGTGTGTGTGTGTGTGTGTGTGTGTGTGTGTGTGTGTGTGTGTGTGTGTGTGTGTGTGTGTGTGTGTGTGGTAAGTAAGTATATGTTGTGTTGTATATGTAAATATGTATAAAAGTATTAGATCATTATTGTGATGTCTTAAAATTATTTACATAAGTCAAACAAATTTATGTCATATAATACAATTTTTGAATAATGATTAAAGACAACAATAATATTAATAATAATTTATAAGCTTTCATTTGCAGCATTTTTTATCCCAATACCATGCAGGATAAAATTCATTCTATACTTTCAGTTTTATACTTTGTAATGTTTTAATATGATAATATATAGAAACATTTCAGAAAATTTTACATTTAATTTTTTACAGCAAACATATTACAATATTAATTAAACTTTTATAATACACTAAATTTCCTGGATCATATAAATATTTAGAAGAAAAGATGTTTGAAAGACAATAACATTTTTTACATTGTTAAAAAGTTTATGATGCATTCTTTTGATATATCAAATTTTATAAATTTGTGAAGTAATTATTGACGGTAAATTTCATTAAAAAAATGGAAAAATACAAAATACTATAAACCATAGATATATTATTTGGAATGTTCTTCTTAGTGAAAAGCGACATACAAATCATATCAACGTTAAAGATTCACAATGTGTCACTGTTCTCTGCGTTGTAAAATATCTGATAGTATTTGGGTTGAGTTATCACCCTCTTTAAAATCATCATCTTCATCTGAACTAAATTCAGCATTAAGAAGATTCATTAAAGATGTTGATTTTTCCGTTAATAGTGGTATATTTAAATCAGTGTTCTCTTCATGTTTAACATTGTTGCTTGTCACTTTTGATTGCAATTCCAGATTATCATCTACTTTCTTTTTGTTAAATAATACCTTTTGAACAACATGAAGTATTATACCACCAAGACACATTAATAATCCTATGAAGTTAAGGCCAGTCATTTGGTCACCTTTTAACACAAAGGCCAATGCTAATGTACATATTCCTGTAAAAAAATCAAAAATATTTGAAAATATAAAATTAAAAAATTTGCTGAACAGAAACTGTATTTAATGTTATCTATAAAACTTTTTTTACATATATAATAACTCAATAATCATTAAAGATATAGAATGTTATTTAGTGTTATATTTTATCTGATATCATTCTTTTAATAATTGACATATATTACAATGTAAAAAAAGTAATAAAATCAATTAATCCTATTTTACCTTAAATATTCCTGAGATCGATAATGTCAGACTAGAAGTATAAGTAATAACTAAGAACTCCATTACTTCCATACTAAATGCTAAAATGGCACCTGCTATTATAGCACTTGTGGTTAATAAGATGTTACTAATATTATTCCAATCATTGATTCTAATACCATCATATATAATACCACCTTAAAAAATTAATGTCTTTAATATATCTTTAATATTTATAATATAATTATTATTTATTTTATATAATATAAATCTTATTTATAACATAATTATATTTATTAATTATATAATATATAAGCACGCACGCATACACACTTGTATATACATACACACACGCGCCCGCTTGTCCGCCCGAATGTACGCACATATCTCTGTGAAACTGTCATCTCTGCTACTATTAAAAAAAATTCGGACCTATGACATAAATGCTAATTTAATACTAATTTATTGCTCCCACTCAATTCGCAGGAAATTAGCACTTAATTATGGCATAGGTCCCGACTTTTGGAAGTGCCAACTTCACAGAGGTTGCACATATGCACATATAATGTCACCTGCACAAGCGATACATACACAATGTTGTATGACTAAACTAATTATTTAAAAAGGACACTTTTATTTTTAATGAAAATATAAATAACCTTCAAACCACAAAGTTACTGATATCGCTGGTAATAGCATCCAAGGTTGCATATAATACATCATGTCTATCGGATCATGGAGACCGAGTTTGGATTTTTGCATAATAAGTTGTGTCATAGTCCACCGAATACCACTTGCAAGTGATGCTAAGAGGCATAATATAAATCCAAGAATGCCAAATTGGGTAGATTTATAAGTAAACATTGCTAATCCCCCTGCTATCATCACCACTATCCCTACTAGAGACCATGACTAGAATAAATGATTGTTTACTTGTTAAAATATACGAAAATTTGATATCATAACTTTTTAATTGAAAATTAGTATTACCTTTTTCTCTAATTTAAATAACAGAGAAAATCCAAGAATAAATATAATGGTAGTTGATTTAGTCATAGTGACTCTAGGAAGAAATATTATATATATATATATAATTATAGATAATAAATTGCTTATATTCTCTTTAATTTTTACTATTCTTAGATTATTGATACTTACAAAGATATTGAAATTAGTGAAAGTGCCCAATTTGATAAACCAATATCAACGCCACTAGCTATACCAGGCACCATTATCGAATAAATTATATTTTGCCATGGAAGATTTATCCGTTTACCATTGTAACATTTTCTAATACATCTTATTAATGCAGATAGTGCAAATTTTATAATCAAATGGCAAACGACCACTCCAAGTGGAAAATTAAAACCCTAAAAGTATTATAATTGTATTAATCATTTTATATTTAAATTTATATTTGTATGTCTAAACAATATATTTATTTTATTTCAATAAAATTCAGCTTATCTCTGTCAGAGATTCTATTTTTTTCTTTGCAATGCAACCAGAATAATAAGTAAAAGTTTTCTCAATTTGATTTATGTTTAACTACTTACATATGTATTATAAAGCCATGGATTATAAAATGTAAGGCCTATCGACAAAATAAAATAAGCAGAGATCAATAAAAATATATGAAATGCTCTTCTCCAAAATGTAGATTCTGGATTTGTCACATTATGAAAATCTGGAATATTTTGTGACACGTATTCAGGTGTATCTATATCATTTCTAGCAATTTGATACTTTACATGTGAACGTGTCATATTCCTATAATAAAAAAATTCTGAAAAAATTAGAATGAATGATTAATGCTTCCAAATTATTTATACATAAAAAAAGAAGTAAAAAAGCAAAACGAAAAAGTTTATGGCATCTCATTTTATTTTACATTATCAATAATGTTACATTACATTGTCAATATAACAAAAAAATATCTATATATTTAAATTATATTTTAATCAAATAAAAAACAAATATGTTCTACACAAAATATACATAAATTGTAATAGTTTTTAAGATCATACATTTTTTTCTATTATTTTATTCGTAAGATTACAAACTTATAACAATAATTATAATAAACTCTTTTTAAAAAGATTATAACCAATATTTATAGTTAGTTCTTATAAAAATGTTTTAAAGAGAGATACTAAAGTGACAGGTTAAAAAATCGGTTTTTTTTTCTTATTTTGTCTGAAAGATCTCTTGAAGAATATATTTTTAAAATTTTAATTTGATTCATCAGTTTTTATAATATATATCACAATATATACAAAATTAAGGAACATACTACCTTGTTATGAAATTCCGAACATAAAGAAATCATTAATAAATCATTACATTCCGAGAATTCCTATATCAATCGTTCAAGTCAAGACTCAAGAAATGTTTATATGCCACTTATAGTAACATTACTACAATCACTATTTTCATTATCCTAGAAAAATAGAAATTCTAAAAGAAATTGAAAAAACTATAAAAACATGGAAAATTATTATTAGAACTATTGGATATCTTGACTTTAGAATTAAACAGCATGAGAGAATGCCGTGTTGGATAAACACATAACCTAAAATTCAATTGCCAATACAACACAGAGATTAACAGAGGTTACTTCAACCAGACACAAGTCGACAGAAGATAGTTACATCATCTAGTGTTCTTGTTGTTTATCGCATACTAAACAAGGACAAATAGTGATATAACCTGATAAGACTCTCGTCGATTTATGTTTGTTGCTGAAAAGCACCTTAGAACTCACTCCACTTTGACAAAAATCTTCATTTTTGTCATGCAATTCCGCTGCGATTGCCCACGTGGACGTAAAGTTTATCTATCGGATCGTTAATATAAAGCAAATATGCTTATCTTTCTTCTCTCTCTGTTCACGCATACATACGTAACACACACCCACGCGTACACACGTACTACTCCACGCATCACACTACGTATCACGCTCGCGCAAATCCAATATATTTATACACCTACATTATACGATCATCTAACACGTACATTAAGTAGAGTTTAGAAATACAGGATGTATCATTTTATCTCTATTGCTAATCGAATAATATGTGGATGCACTCAGGTGTAATTTCTGAACGCATCTGTATTTCATTAATCGAATCCTTTTTGAGTACAAAAAAGTGTAGATAATCAGACATGTATCTCTCTCGTTCGCTCGACGAAAAAGATACGACGAGAATACGCATCGACCTGAGATCTCGGACGGGAAGAGAATTGACGAATTGCGTTTGAATAATTCGATCAATTAACCAACGTGATTGGTCAATTCTTTTTCCATCCGAGATCTCGAACCGATTTCTAGCATCGTGGATACAAGGGATATCTGTTCTTTTTAGTTGAACTGGCTGCACTAGTTCAGAGTTTATCTTTCTTCTTTCAGCGTAAGAAAGAAAGCTAAACTATGAACTAGTGCAGCCAATTCGGCCAAAAAGAACAGGCCTAAGGCTTTTTTAAATCTGTAATCTTGCTTGCAATTACATAAAATTGTTCGTACATGTTATAGAGGGTGATTGTCTCATATATGTGCATATAAACTATGAAATCTCAGTAAGTAGATATAATAATAATAATAATAGATAGCTAATGGTTCTCTATGTGACAAACAATTAATATTAAATATCTTTATTTGTGTTTTTAGCAAAAGTTTATTACTTCCTTTTTCATTTTAATGCATAGTTTAAAAGAACTTTGCAATTCTGCTAATGCTAATTTAAAGATTACTGATTTAAAAAAATGTCGCCAGCGAAACAAATGACACACAATTTTTTCGCGATGTAATCTGTGAATAAAATATGTTATCAAGGAACATAAATACAATAAAATACGATATATTATAATTAATGTTGTATGCACAATCATTGGGATAATTAAATTAAAATGATTCACAAAAGCTCATCATGAGAATATTTACAAAATTTTGGTGATCAAATTTATTCCTAAATACATTTAATTTTATTCGCTGATTTCATTTTTCTAAATAATTTATAATAACGTTAACATATATCTATATGTATTTCTATTAAATACAAATTATAAAATGATATTTACCATAATACATCTTGTAGCTTATATATCTTATATATTTCTTAATAAATTTATATAACATTCATATTAATTTATGCTGTAGATGATACAGCTAATTTCTTCAAATGTTCCATAAATACTTGTAAGCTGACATCGTCCGTCAAAACAGGGGCACCACTCTCCTAAATAAAACAAATCAAACAACATATTTATTAGTCTATTATAGAAATATATTTATTTTCATAATTGTCTGCTCTTAACTCTGCTATAGTTTTCAGGTCTTTTTAACTTATCGCATTGATTTCTTTAAATTTTTTGTTGCTATCAAGAAAATGAAATGAAATTGTTATTAATATATTTGTTTTCATTTCTTTGATCATCAAATTAAAAGTTCATTATCTGGATTTACGATATATTAGTAATAAAAATTATATATGATCTTTGGGTTTTTTAACTCAATGTAAACAAAGTATTATCAAATAACAGAAATCAATCACAATCAAGCTTTACAATAAAGTTTCACTTTACAAAACAGCAAGTAATAGTAAAATAAAAAAAATAACATAAAATGACTAGAATAAATACTTTCATATGAAAAAAATGAATTATTAGTATGGTGATATGAATTCTGACACGCACAATTTTTTGTCATATAATTTTAATCCATGTACTTCGTTTTATTTTAACAAAATTTTATCTTTAAAGAATTATGCTAGAAAGTATTAGAAATTTGATAGAACATGTTGCGACAGCTTTAGATTAATAGAAAATAATATGCACTTTAGCATTAAAATATTAAATAAGTATGTTTACTTACCGCACCATAAGCATACATATTATTATGAGTCTGGCTTGGATTGACTTTACTTAATAAAAATCTAGCTTGAGAACCACCTTGTTCCGTATCAATATATCGAGGCGCAGGAAATCTAACAGCTAATGTCTCAGCAGCATCATCAACGGGTGCTGCTAGTAATTGTCGAAAATTTTCGTATTCTGGTAAGTCTTGATATTTCAGTTGCCGCCACTGTGCGATAGTCTATAAAAATATTAATTTTAAAATAATAAAAATATTTCATTATTTTATAATTTTATATATAAGCTTCCAGGCTTTACCGGTCACCGATTTTTGTAAAGAAATTTTGTTAATTCATTAGTTTATTTCATTTACCTCCCCATGAAATATAAGTATTTGGAAGAACGTATCCATCAACAGAATTCTGTCAGGTTGAATAGATGAAGTATCTAACAATACAGCTTCTGGAGGACCATTAAATCCATAACTATATAAGACTGGTTGAACCATAACTAAAGAATCCGCTACATTTTCACGCATAAGCATATGCCTGAAAAATATTGAGATAGAATACATACTATATATATATATATATATATATATATATATATATATATATTATTTATGTGACAATATTAAAAATTCCAAACTTATTAACAAAAATTTCAAATATCAATATCATATATATTTGATAAAGAATTATATAACATAAATTTTATAACATAAATAAATAAGCTTACCTATAAAAGCTAGTTTCATCTGGTGAATTATTGAATACTTGTAAGAACTGCGATCTGCGTAAATGATACATAAATTGTGGATACATAGAAAAATTTTGTGCCAATCTGAAACTATTTGGATCATCTTTTGTATACTCTCCAAATTTTTGACACTGTAAAAATAAGATTTTACACTTAAAAAAAAAATGAAGTATACATACATACACGCATATCTTCGCTCGCGTATCTGTACATACGTATAAAAATATGGACTATATGAAATATTACAAACTATTTTCTCAGAATCTATTAGAAATAATAGTAAAATTATAATTTTTTTAAGACTTATTGGAACTTTTTAAGTGATTTATGATGCATCATTGTCAAATTTGTAAGAAAACAAAAAGGAAATTAGTCATTTTTTTTAAATCTTGTACTTGTTGGATGCATTAATTGATGCAGTTTTTAATCCTCTATGAAAATTATTATGAAATTATACTTAGAAATTGTTAGTTTACTAATTATTTTATATAGTTATTTTATATAGTTTACTAATTATTATATATTTTATTTATATTTTAACATTTAATATAATTTAATTTAACTTTATAATTTAATTTTTAATATTTTATAAATTCATTTTCTGATAATCTTATTTAAATATTTTTGTAATAAAATAATAAGATAAATCCCGAAAAAATATAGTTGCTTTAAAAAATATGCATTTTACAATATGAAATTACATATTATTTTAAAAATTAAGTATGTATTTTCTTTACATCACTGAATTTTCTCATTCTATTCACAAAAATATCAAGTTACTGTATATAAAATAAACATTTTACAAAATATTTTATATTAAATGTTTAAATATTTCAGAATAAAATATAAAATTAAACTTCTAATCTAATAAAATTTCTAAGTAATTTTATAATAATTTTTTTGTAAAGAATTAAAAATTGTGTTGATTAATATATTCAAAAATATATTTTGTATAAAAAGAAAATGGATATCTTTCTTTCCATTTATCTGTAAATTTAGCAGCAGTATCATATATATTACATAAAAAGTGCTAATGAATCCTAAAAGCTCAAAGAAAATTTTATTATCTCTAATAAATTCCCAAAAAACAATTTGTAATACTTAATATAAACCAATATATATGTATGCAACACATACATCCTATATCATTTAGACTTTATTTTAATTTTGTACTATTTTTGTTAAGAAAAATTAACTAACAAGTCTAATCAGCATACGATCAACCCATCTTAAAACATCTAGACCATCATCACTTTCTGCTCTAAATACAGCTAAACGTGACATAAGAACAGCTGCTGCTTCTTGGTCAAATCCAGCACTTATATGATGCAATGATGATGATGCATCTGCCCAACTGTAAATCAAAATATTTTAGAAGTGCTCAAAAGCAAACCTCTATATTATATCAAACCACTAACATCTAGTGAATTTGTACGATGAGATATGATGATATAAAGTAAAATCCATTAATAATATATTTATTGTAAGCATAAAATCTAATATATATAAATATACTAAGATGCAATGAAATGCTATATGACAAAATATTAAACTTATATAATTTGAATGATTTGAATTATTATATCCTATATAATTTTTAATATTAAATATGACAATATGGCTTCAATATAAAAGTGTTAGCAGTTTAGTATAATATATAAAAATCTATAAATTATTATAATCCCATATATTAATTATTAAAAATAAAAAATTACTTTCTTGCAATAGTGGTAACTCTAATTCTTCTTTGTCCACTGCTATGTTGATATTGAGTAATAAATTGAATACAACCTCTTCCACCTTGTGGAATTGGAGCTGTATGTTGATTAACAACTTCAAAGAATAACGCTGTTGTTGTAGATGGAGTCAGTGAACAAAATTTCCATTGGCAGGTACCACCTAAACCTACTTCTTGTTCTCCAACACTAGATCCTTTTACTCCTAATGATACACAAGGTCCAATTGCACCAGAAACTTTAATTTCCCGTGATGTTTTTACTTCTAAAGTTGCATTGAATGCCATTTTTAAATCACCCTTAGCATCTTTAGCAAATACTCGTTGAAAAGTTTGTTTGAATAAAGAAGAATTAAATGAATCTCCCATCACCATATGACCACCAGTAGAATTACAACATTGTCGCATTTCCAATAAGCCAGTTTGATCCAGAGCACAAGAATAAATATCTATTATATGACCATTAGTTGCAGCACGTGATGCGAGTGCATCATAATGCTTAGTTGCTTTTTTCATATGTTTAGCATTATCTTTTTGAATATCATGATGTGATCTAATCGGTTGCCGCAAATCGTCAGTTACAACTTGGCCAGGTCCTTGAGAACATGATCCACCAACAAATAACATAATCCTTAAAGATATTAGCTATTATACAATTAATTAAAATATTAATAATATTTATTACAATGTCTAAATACCTAGCACCTGTATTCGCGTAACTAGCTTCCAAAAGACCCGTGGCAACAGCCAAAGCTACACCTGTAGATCGTAACGGACGTTTTCCTGGTGCAACAGGCCAAGGGTCACGTTGTAACTCTCCCAAAAGATCTGTCAGACTCATATCGCATTTATGTATTGGTTGTAAGAAACGATTAGCTGGTGACAATAACTGTGTACCAGGTCCTCTTGGTTGATTTGAATTTTGTCCTGGAATAGGTCTGCCTATACCTAAATAAAATGTAATTAAACAATTTTATATATATATATTAATAACTTTGGATAAATAATTTAGAATTAAGCTTTTACCTAACATATCTTGAACTTGTTTTGGTTGAAGATCTTTTGTGCCACGAAAAACATAACTTTTACTGCAACCCTCACATCCCAATTCATGAACTTGAACCATTCTACCAAATGTGATAAGGCCAATAAGAGAATTAGATGGAAGCAAAGATAATGACATTTGTAATGAATCCTTAAGTGCTCCTAATTCTTCATCATCCAGGCAAGTATCCACAACAAATAGAAATATAGGTGGTAAACACTGAGCACGCTAAACAGAATATTAAATTCAGAAGTTAATAAAATTTATTATTAATATAATTTAATTTTTTTTATGTATGTTAAACATAACAAAGTAATTAAATAAAAATTTATCATATTTGAATTTTTGCAGCATATACAAATATTTCATTATTCATAATATATTTTTCATATATTTTTATAGAATTAAAAACTTTGTATTTTACTTTAATTATAATTAATTACTTACCATTATTGTATATTCGATAGTTGAGAACATTGGGATAAGTTCTGCTGGTTGATGTTGTTCTGAAATTGCAGCATACTGCGGTGGAAACTAAAAACAAAATGATACATATACATATTATATATACATGATATATATACTATATATTTTATATGTATATATATATATATATATATATACTATTTATATAATTACATATGTATGCATATATAAGTATGAATATATGAATATGCAAGTTCGTAAGTGTGCATATGTGTATATGCGTACGTGCATATACATATATGTGTATGCATACGCATGCGCGCGTGTGTCTATGTATGTGTGTGCGTATGCGTGTGTATAGGATATTTATAAATTTATGATTATAAATATGACATATATTCAATAAAAATAAGATTACTTAGGTAAAAAGCTAAAAAATTTAATTTTTCTTTTAAATTAATAAAAATAAAATACATATAAATATATAACACACACATACATATACACACATACACATATATATGATAATTGGCCAATTCTTAAAGTTGAAATTCTAATTTGAAGTAGCTCAAAAAATGCTTTTTGCTAAAAATTATTTAGTTTAAAGCATAAGATTTATTATATCTATTGAAGATTGGAAGTTATGAGAATAGATTGGAAGTTATTAAATATAATATTTATATTTAATGAATTCTTATACTCAATTATCTTAAATATGGTCTCAAGGTCCTATACATCTATTTTAAAATTGACAAAGTAAAATTATCTACATTAATTTTTTGTTTTGTCGTATTACTGTTTGTTTTTTTTTGTTGTCTTATTAATATAACCCGACAAATACAATTTCTGTTCTGTGAGTCCTTTGCGGGCCATTGAATGAATAGTCTTCACATAAATTTTTGTGTCATGAATTAAAAGAGAAAGCGAAATCAGTCAGGAAAGCAAGAAAAAAGGGAGAAAGAGGATGTGTTATATAACCCAAAGGTGGTTGAAGTTAAGTTAAACCTGGCACTCTCCAACCGGAGAGACCAAACCCTAAGAAAAAAAATTTCTGTTCTGTCATCAGTTTATATCAAATATAATATATCAAAATTTAATTTCTATCAATTTTGTTTATAAATTTTGTTAATATAATTCTGTTAATATTGTTCTGTTAATATGTGATCATGTAACATTACATATTCCAAATCTTGTATATATTAAATCTTCAACCTTTCTGCTAACAAAATTTGTAATAAATACTTTATATTCCATTTTTAATAAATTTGATTAAATATAACTATGCATGCATATGTACATATATATGTGTGTATGTGAACATATTTATGTATATACAAATAAAGAAAAATAAGTTTGTTTTCTTACGGGATTTCTCTGAAAGCAAAAATTGCAGACCCATAATTTTGCACGATAGTCTACTTGACATAATGGATTTAAAATAGCTCTGCAGGTAGATCTTGTACACAAAACTGGATCATATTGAATCGGTGGAAGATCTGCTCGTTCCTTAATTGGTTGATACAAAGTACCCAACGGGACAACTAGTCTAGTAGCATCAATACGTGATGAAGGCCATACATTCCATGTAAAACGGACACCATCGCGATCTTCGTTTTGTTGAATAAAATCTTCATATGTCGTCATAATGCTATAAAATATATCAAAAAGATAATTTATTTATTTGTTGATAAATTGACATTAACTTTTTTTCTTGTATCTACATAATTTATCTACATTATCTCTTTTTTATAAAATAATGATTTGAAAATAGAAGATGTAATGAAAATGAAATTATAATCATACTTAAATAAAATTAACACTTACAATTATTTTTGAACAAAAATGTTAATTAATTAGCACTATATTTATTAATATAATTTTCTTCCAATACTATTAATGAGATTGATAGATTTTTATTAAACATTAACACCATACTCGAACTCAAGCCACGTCACTCAAGAGACTGAACCACTGAACCAAACTAAACGCATGCGCTGAATGCATTTTATATATTCACATAAAATACAAGATGGACAATCTCGTTGATGAACAAGAACATTGACCAGTAGAGTAGAGCTCCAAGTAGAGGCTGGGGCTAACTAAATCAATTGGCATTTTCACC